AAGGGGAAGGATGTTTTCGTAAGTTTAACTTTAAAAGGTTAACAATTAGTTTAATTAATTGAGTTCTTTTAACTGCATTTTATTTATCTTTCACTCAATTACTTTAGATTCAAATTTAGTACTTCAGTTTGGTAGTTTAAATTTATGATTTACATATCAGAATTTAGATGTTAACTCTTTCAGTTTAACTTTTCTAGATAAATATGTCACCAATTTATATATTCTTAACATTTGAAATTGCAATCACCTTAAACCAATACCCCACCACTATTTAGTAAAATTGAAAATTTAAGCTTTTAGCTACTATGATCGGAAAATAACTTCAAGGGAATATCCCTTCCCCAAAACTTGTTCCGAACAAACTATAAAGGGAGAAAACAAGTGGGACATAACATACACAAATTAACTACAAACTACAACATGTAACTGCTAATATTAATAAGTGCAAAAAATATTCATAGTAATATTAAGCATCACAAATCACAAGCTATATCAGAAAATATAAGCAGCTAGAGTCAACTTAATCTTTAAATAGTCCTGTACAGATCATAATAATAATAATTTACAGAGTTCCCATAACAACATAAATAACATCCACGTACAAGAAGTAAAATATAACATAACAATCGCAGATCAATGGGAAGCAAGCTCAGAATCAATAAACTTAAATCAATAGAACATCAGTATCCTCCTTAGTTTGAGTATCATCGTAAGACATATACGATGGCAGAGTGGAGAATACTACCTAATCCAAGCCTACGTTTCACTAATTTCTTCTAAACATCTTCTGCCCTGCAGTGTGGTACTGAGCCAAATAGTCAAACTGTAGCTTATTCTGCTTAACAAAATGATGGTAGCGATCTGACAAATCATATAGCTCCGCCGGAATAATAGCATTATCCTTAGCAACGGTGTTGAGACGCTAAAAAATGGAGACCATTGAAGCAGAGGGGCGAGGTCTAAAAGAAAAAGGACGGACAAAATTCTCACCTTACTCTAACAATAAAGAAGGCGACCTACTATACACCCCTATGCTTCTTTTCGTGATTTCCTTAAGTGGAGGCAACTGTTTCTCCCAGCTGTCATACTCCAACTTTCAAACATAGAGTAAAGATGGTAGAAGGGTGCCCCAAACTTATGGTGGATCCGCCTTTCAACATGTTATGGACTGAAAAGTTGATGATGGAACAACATGAATCGACTTACCCTTTTGGATATAATAATTCATAATGGCTTGCTCTTGGGTAATTTTGCTCAAATTGGTGGATGGAAGAAGTTTTGCTGAAATAAAATGGTGCCAACCCTTAGACTCGACATTCAAAGTAGCAACAGGGAAATTTAGTTTTCTCTCTTTCCTAATTTTCCACACACTTCTCTGCTTGGTAATATACTGAATGATTTCATATAACTCATGGTCTGAAGGCTTGAAATTAGAATAGATATCCTTATGCAGGTTAGGAAGAGTGTATATAGCATTGATATTCGCATGGGAGAAATCAACATTTTTGCCCCTAAGAAAGATCTAATCATTCCAGGATTTTTTCAAATTTGTAAAAAATTCCCGAATTACATGAATCACAACAACATCGGTCTCATAGCAAATGCATCCAATCTCGATTGACAATAACTCCCTCAACACCTCCTCTCGGTTGAGAGAACCCTCTCTCCGGAACGAACTTTCTTGCTACCAAAAGTTCGTTATAGTGCTCTTCAGCTTTTGCACTAATAAATTTTTTGTTATCGAAGGACGCCTAAGATTTTCATCCCTTTGTTTTTGGTGCCATGAATGAGGGATGAAAATAGAGAAACAAGATGATCGAGCTAAGCTAGGTAACTCTCTAGATCATGACTAGGATTTGCTAAAGGGTCAAAGAACTAAATCCAATCAACCCCAAATCTCTCAGATAAATTGTGAAATCAAAGAAAAACTAGAAAGAAAGAGGTTGAGAAAGGAAAGCTTACCCAAAGATCACCGAATGTACTCCTTTCTTTAACTATTTCAAGCAAAAATGGAGCTTTAGGAATCTAGGACACTGAAACTAAAAAAAAAGGAAGGAACTGAAGGAATAGACGGAAAAATTGTCCCAATAGTGAAAATCACGATATTAAAGCAAATATGGGTGCCTACGCGCCCGGTGAGGCGCCTAGACACTGCTCCAGATCTATCACGGGCTGGGTGGCGCCTAGGCGCCAAACTCAAATTTTCTCCTGTTTAGGGGATCAAATTGGCAAGCCCACTGAAAGCTCAAACAACTACACAAAAATCACACCACATATCAACACTAAAGTGCAATAATTGATCGAAGAATCACAATAAACACACCAATACAATTAGGTTGCCTCCCAAGGAATGCTTAGTTTAATGTCCTCAATCTGATAGTGTCGGATTTATTAATTAGGATGACCCAAAATCAATGTCTCTATGGCCAAGTTTATCCCCCTAGATATATTTTAAGTCTCTGCTTATTCACCTTAAGCACCCTTCAACTTTTCTTATCCTTACTATCAACAACTCCAAAAGAGTAAACCTTTTTTACAGTAAATGGACCCAAACATCTGAAATTAAGTTTTCCAAGAAATAATTTCAATCGAGAATTATAACACAAAACCTCTTGTCTGGACTTGAAATCTTTCATAAGAAGCATCTGATCATGTCATTTCTCTATTTTCTCTTTATATATCTAGGCATTTTCATAAGCTTATTCCCTAATTTCTTCCAATTTATTTAATTGTAGTAGATGCTTTTCTATTGAATCTTTTAAATTATAATTGGATTCCTTAACAACCCAAAAAGTTTTGTGTACTAATTTTACGAGTAAATGACAAGCCTTACCAAAAATAAGCCTACAAGAGGTATTCTTATGGGAGTTTTATAAGCAGTCTTATAAGCCAAAAGTGCGTTTTCTAATCTTAGAGACCAATCATTTCTACTGGTTTTAATAGTTTTCTTAAGAATTCTTTTTATTTCCCCAGTTGATACTTTCGCTAAAACACTAGTTTGAGGGTGATAGGTAGAGAAAATTTTATGCTTACTTCCATACTTTTCTGCCGAACTCTTAATTTTTCTATTCCTAAATGATTCCCCCACACTTATAATCACTATAGGTGTTTCAAATTTACTGAAAATGTTCTTCTTTAAAAATTTTCAAATGCTCTGAGATTACAATTTGAAAAAGTAACAACTTCTATCCATTTTGAGACACGGTCCACTACCACAATAATATACAAGTTTCCCAGTGAAAATAAAAATGGTCTCGTGAAATTTAAACTCCAAATATCAAAAATCTCAACATTCAATGTATAATTCAAGGGCATTTCAGCTAATTTTAAAATATTTTTCACTCTCTAACACCTGTCACAATATTAATATAATATTTCTAGCCCCTAAATAGAGTAGACCCATAAAATTCAGATTGAAGAAGCCTAACAGTTGTTCTATATCATCCAAAATGTCTTATATTTTGAATCATAACATCTCCTAATTACATCTTCTAAAGGGACAAGAAATTTCTTCTAAAGGGATTATAAGGGTTAAGAGAATGTAAATGAATTATATGGGTTAACACAACACTTAAAGAAAATTCAATTGTAAATTACAGAATCATCTCAAATCTATCCTACCACCATTCCAATTCTAGGGAGAAATAGAAGGATTACTCACTAATCATCTTAAAACCAAACAATGCAAATTTTTTATAGAGTAGAAACAACATTGACCAAGTTTTACCCAACATTCCAAGAGAAAAATGCAAACTTAAATGAACATTTATCTCCTTCCCTTATCAAGTTGGCTGAAAAGAGAGTACAGGACAAATCCTCTCTATTTCTCAAATTCACTCTCTTTAATTTACTCAATTGCCTCTTGACTTCCTTCTTGCAAGAGTTCTCCTCCTTCAAAAGTTTGTCTTCTTCCTCTATAAGCGTGGAAAGTTTGTGGAAATTCATCCAAAAGTCCTTATTACTTCGTCTCCACCCCTATTTATCGAATTTCCCATGAAGAGTCGCATTTGAACTGCAGAAAACTACCTAAATGCGTAAACTAACGCTTAGGTGTTGGACACTAATTTTTTATTTAGGGCATCGGGAGCCTAGTTGCTCAAAGGTGGCGCATAGATGCCACTAGGGCAGCGCCCACTCGCTGCAATCCGATGCCTACTTTCTGTGCTCTTTATATTTCGAGGCAAAATTCTCTAAAACCTGCCTGGCAACCGTCGCCTAGGCACCCAAGGGCAATGTCTCTGGCGCCTAGGTGCCAGCATCGCAGCGCCTACTTTCCAATCACCGTCTTGTGCACATTCTGATCCTTCTTTGGGAGCCTAGGCGCCAAGTCCTGGCACCTAGGCATTGGTAGTATGGTGCCTACTTTCTAACCAACTAGCGCTTATTTTCCAGCTGCTCTGTATTTTGACGAAACCTGTTAGAGGAAGTCCACCTCGGGCGTCTAGGCGTCCAGTACTGACAACTAGGCGCTACAACAACACTTTGCTCCATTTTTAGATATTTCGAACTCCGCTAGACCTCTTTGATTGAGTCTCGCAATACAATACCAAAATCTTCCAAAAAACGTAATATAAACATATAAATAGGTGAAAATAAAGTGACAAATAAGTACATTTCATATGTATGTCAAGAGAGGGAGGAAGAAAATTGCTAGATTTCTGAAATTTGAACGGCAGGGCGGTGGTCCGGAGTAGATCTCAAATGATCTAGCAGTTTTGGTGCTGGATTAGTGAAGTTATGGCTTTTACACCATCTTTTTATGCACGCACTAGCCTATTAAAGTATAGTTTCTTGCACATGACTGTATAATGCAGCATGCGGTTGAACACTTGATTTGATTATCTCTATAACTTCAGGCTCTTTCTGTAATGAAGAAATAGGAGTTAAGAAGTTTTCTCCAATATGCTATGCTAACCACGGTTTTATTGCATCTTAAATAAATTTCAAGTTTGTATTTTCTTACACATCCCAAATAAATGATACCCGGTTTCTTGCTACAGGAGAAGATTTATAAACCCAGGATTTGCAAAATGAGTAGAAAAACTGCCAAAAGTTTTGTGGAAATCCAAAAGCAGCCTGCAATGGGGAAAGCTGTTCGGAAGAAAAATAAAGCCTTGCGAACCTCAATACTGTTGTCCAGGAACCAAGACGTGGCAAAGAAGCTTCCTGTTCGCAGCATTCTCAAGAAGAAGAAAACACTTACTACAGACCGAAAATCGAGTAAATCAGTCGGTGCCAAGGCAGCTAATTTAATCAAATTTTACTGCAAGCCAAATAAGCATGTTACATTCTCTGTTAAGGATGACACAGCAGGAAATAGCAGAGCGTGTTCAAACATGAATTTTCCTCAGCTGCAGAACCTCTGCAAGATTTTCTCCGATGTTTTGGCTGCATCATCAGTTATGAACCATTCAAGTAAAGGCCCTGATCATCCAGATGCTAATGGCCGACCCCAGGAGCTAAATGAATCTGAGAAGGGAACTCATTCAAGTATTGTATCTAGGACTGAAGGATCTTCAACTGAGAAGAATCGGTCAGGTGATTCTACAGTTAATATCTGTCAGCCAACAGTTGTCAACTCCAGCAATAGCAGCTGTTCTGGCACAGAAAAAGCATCTTTTGCTGTGATGGTCGATCTAAACCATGCTATTCATGCTGATGATATTGATTGTGCTATCCCTGCTACCTCAACTTTGCCTTCCAGCTGCATTTATTCTGGTGATCCAAATTCTAGTGTCAAGTCTCATGGGAAGAATCCAAATTCTACTTCTGATATGCATTTGGAAGCAGGCTTAACAAGGTTATCTGAACCCAGCCTTCTTCCTGACCCAAATGACAAGTTTGTTGCTAGTTCTGATGTAACAAGTTCAATGGCACTTCAGAAAAATCCTAGTTCTCATAGTTCAGCATCTTGCCTTGCTGTTTATAGTAAAACAGATGAGGGGCAATGCCAACCGCGTGTTGATGCAGATGGTAACTGTTGTCATCAGGTAGAATATCATCAATTGTGCGGCCACCACTCTCCAAAAGGTTTGTTGAGTAACACGTGCTCTTCTATGAGGTCCAAAAACTTGGGAGAATGCTCATTCACTCCAAAATTGGCGCCTACCATCAAAAGTAAATGTCCAGGTGATGACTTCATTGGTTTGCCTCTTAATTCACGAGGTGAACTTATTCAGTTTCATTCTGGAACCAAGTTTAGCGAGGCATATGACAAGCAAAACATGGAATGGGGCTCCATCCATGGCATTTCTGCAAAGAGACATGTTGAATCTAATGGCCGTATGAACCGATTGGAAATATTGCCCAAAAAGGTTGCGGCTGCAGCATCACATCAGAAAAATCAGTCGAATTGGAATCAGAAAAAAGAGTGGCAAATTGGCTGAACTTTGCTGAATTGGAAAGCTCTGAAAGACTGGAAAATCAAAAATATCAGCCTATGAAGGGTAAGGAGACATTTCTCCACTGCAATTCAAACCCCAGAAACCATTCTTTTCATGAATATAGATATAGTGACGCCACAAATGATTTCTGTGAGAGGGTTGATCTCCAAGGGAAATACAATATTGGTTATAATAATCAGGCTGCTGTCCAACCTACAATGCGCTTGATGGGTAAAAATGTTGTTGTTAGTGGCATTAACAGAGATTACAATGGTTTTAATGATGGGAGAACATGGAATCACAATGAAAATTTAGCTGAACAAACTCAGTTTTCCTGGTCTGAAAAGCAACTTCCACAACAATTAATGCAGAGAGAATGTGTTTGGCATCCAACAATTGGGAGATCAAAAGGAAATCTGCTTGAGTTGTTAGATTCTTCACCGAATTTTTATCACATGAAAGCATTTGATCCAACATTGAATTATATGAACATTACTCAACAGCCTCAATGGCCATCCAGAAGTACCGATTCAACCATTTTAAACCACAATTTCAAGTTGGATATGAACAAGCATGGGCTGCCTCCCCAAACCTTTATGAACAGGCCAACCCAATTCTTAGGAAATTATATGTCAGGTGAAGGATCATTTAGTGGGCATCGGTTTCCTGCTGTTATGCCATCTCATGCACAAAATTTTCACCAGCAAATGCTACTGAGTTCTTCGCTAGACAAACATAACCAGAGAGTGTCAACCACACAGTCCCAAATTAAATATAAGGATTTTGGAAAATTTTCTCAGCCACCATTATTACACCCTGCAGCAAAGCTGCCTCAGTGGTTGCTTCATGCAAAACACCAGAAAAGGACTCAACTGTCTGATTCACATTATTCTAATCCAAATACAATTAAACAACCCTGCAATTTTCCTGGAAATAGTTCAAATTTCCATCTTTCTCCATGTCATGTGCCTATGTCTCCCTTCTCTTCCGGTGGTGATATCGATCCTCGCAAAGCCTGTCGCCCATTTGTTTCAAGTGCTTGCGCTCCATCTGTCACCCCCCTTGCTGCATCAACCAAGTATAGCGGCGATGTTAATAAAAAGAATAGTAGTATGAAAATGAAGGAGAAGGAAGGCATTTATTCAAAATTTACATACTTAAAGACTCCCCCTGATGCTCAAAAGATTATGAAGAGGTCTGTTGAATTTGAGGATGGAAGGATAAATTCTGCAAAGAGACCTTTAAAAGGGCAATTAGACTCTCATGTTCCTGAAGAACCAGAGGGGACAGAGAAGGTGAATGATCAGCCACAGCACCATGATAAAGCAACTTCTTCGGAATTTAAGAATGCAGCAAATGAAAATGGCTTATGCAGGACTGTAAATAACTCCAATTCTTTGAAGTTTGATAAGGAATTAAGATCAGGACCTACGAAATTGATTGCAGGAGCAAAGCATATTTTGAAGCCCTGTCAAAGAATGGATGAAAGAAACTGTAGGCCAATTCATTCCACCATAATGGTCCCCAACACTGAAGCTCCTGGTAAATTTTTTTGCCCTGAGAAGAAAATTTCTAATATCTATAATTTCTAGCATCTATTTTGTGATTTTGTGACTTTTTTTTTAGTTTGTTCCATAAAATGACTGCTGATACATTTATTAGGTTTGTATTTAAAAATTAGGATCGGTCATTGCAACTCAACCTTTAAAAAAGAAAAAAAAAATGCAATTTAGATTGATGCTGTTGCTGTAATAACTACTTACAAGAAGAAATTGACTTTGATAGTTAAATGCTTTATTTATGATCATTTTGTGGAGGATGTATTGTTTTAATTAGTTTCATCCTGGTTTTAATTGCAATTATCTTTTTATATGAATTATTTGTGAAGATTGAACACTGACTTTTACAACTTTCAGTCTTATTTTTTCAGGTGTTTGTTGAAATCTCTATGTGCATTCTAGCAGTTTTTGCATGAGATAAATGTTTGCATTAGTTAGTCATTCAGTCCAAATTTTTGTTCTTGCAAGTCTAAATCATCTTAAATATATTTCCTACCTTAAAAGTGAAGAATTTTCTGTATCTCGTTAAATAAATCGGTTTGAAAGATATGCGAGTTCTACTTGTTCCTTTTCAGGTGCTTATTCAGATCTTAAGTTCCATTACTGTTCTGCCCTTTAATATTTATGTAACTCTAAGATGGCATATCTTTTGTCATCAGCACTCGCTACCAATGCATCAGATCTTTTTCATATTGTTCTTTAATCCTGTTCGGATGGAGAATTACGTAGGGCTTCAATTGGTTCACAATTAAAATCATACCGCAGAAAATAGGAACACCGTTTCGAGAAAAAAAAAAAAAAAAAAAAAAAAGAATAGAAGCACAACAAAGTAATCTAAGCAAAACACATCACAATTTAATGTAGAAAAACTCAAAAACAGGCAAAAACTTTGGAGCTATACAACACCAAAAATTTAACTATGAAGAAACAAACTATACAAATATGCACACTAAAATCAACTCTATACAAACACAAGTACTTATAGAGCATCATTACAAACCTTCCTCTTGCTCTAACAAGCAAAAGCCCTCATACTGAAATCACTCTTTCGACAATTCATCTTTATGAAGAACTTCTATAACAAAAACCACACATGAGAATCATAACGCTTCGTCACTCGAATCAAAACTCAAGAACCAAAATAGGAGAAATTGCCTCGACTGCTTAGGTACACCTGAAAGATGTGTAATTATTGTTGTGGTGGAGCCCGGTTTAAGAAAATCAAAAAATTTTTCTAATTTTTGCCCGCCTCTTTAACCGTTCCCGCCTCCATTCTTTGGAAGAGGTGTGTCTTTTTGCTGCGGTTGGCCCCACCACCATAAATGCAAGAAAAAAGAAACCGTGGGCTTCTTCTCCTATTACAAAAAACAAAAGGGATTTCTAGTTTTACAAAAAGCAAAAAGGCTACAGGCGACGAAAAACAAAGGGAAGGAGGAACACACGTTTTCGGTGAGGCTAGAAGAGCAAGGTACGGTTCTCTCCAGTGGCTTTCTCTTCCTGCCTGGTTTACGAGAACAGGTGAAGAGGCCTTGCAGGTTTCACATCCTTGATTCTTCTTCTTCTTCTTCTTCTTGGGCGACTCTCCGGTAGAGAGAGAGAGAGGAAGAGATAAAGTTGTCTATTGTAAGTGTCGAGACTATCAACTACAGTGTAATTTCCTCAATTAGTAAAATCCTCTGCAACTCCGTGGATGAAGACAATTTGCCGAACCACGTAAATCTGTGTGTTCTTTTCTGGTGTGAATTTTTCTGGTGTTATTTTTTTACTTCATCGTCGATCGTTTTAAATTTCAAATATACCCCGACAACTGGTATCAGAGCCAATGGCTACAGACGAAGTGAAGATTTCAGGGATCGAGAAATTTTTGGTTATTGGAGGAGGCAGATAGAGGACTACCTCTATGGGAAGAAACTCCCTTCCGTTATTGGGAAAAAGAGCTGAAAGAATGGATGAGACTGAATGGAACCTGTTGGATCGACAGGTTCTGGGGGTTATTCGACTGACCCTATCGAGGTCCGTTGCACACAACGTCGTCAAGGAGAGGACGACTGCAGATCTTATGACAGCCCTGTCAGGTATGTATGAAAAGCCATCGGCGAATAACAAAGTATATCTGATGAAGAAGTTATTCAATTTAAAGATGGTGGAAGGTACGTCTGTTATACAACACCTGAATGATTTCAATACTATCACAAATCAATTATCATCTGTGGAAATTGAATTTGATGATGAGATACGTGCACTGATCTTGTTGGCTTCATTGCCAAAAAGCTGGGAAGCTATGAGGATGGCTGTCAGTAATTCTGCAGGTAAATCTAAACTGAAGTTTGAGGATATTCGTGATTTGATTTTGGCTGAGGAGGTGCG